ATTACATTTTCACACAATATCTGTACTTTCTATTCCTTATATTTTTAAAACAAACGTTACTCTTGGCTTCGGTTTATTTATAAATATCTATTTCACGTTATGTGCGTGTGACGGAGAAGCCCTCGCCATCAGCCGGGACTTAGTTATAAGTCAGTGTCAGCATGCGCACACACTCATACACAAACAGATACACAATCACTCGCTTACTTTCTGTCGCAGGTTGGGCTGGCGTGGTTCATTGTGGGTGCACACGCGGTGTTCCGGCTTCAGTTAACATCACCTGTTATTTTCATCGTTTTAGTGAAATAAACTCAAGCAGACAGTGAAAGTGTTTGTTCAAATTGGGCAGTGATGAGCAAAATGAAAGGTGTTAGTCATTTTTATTCAAACATGATAGTTTTTCCTAATTTTCTGGTTTTAATAAGGTTGAAAGTTGTGTTCAACCATCTTTTGGCTAAACCGACCTAATTTGGCAGCGTTTTTACCCAATCTATATTTTTACTAGGGCAAACCAATGCAAATTAGTCTCATCAGCTAAAACAATTAAATTTAATCACAACTTTCACAAGTCTAAGGCAGTCTTGAACCATCAACCTCTAGAGTGAGAGCGTCTTACAGATGACGCCACTTAAATGGATAACCATTGAATGGAGAAAAGACTCCTTTATACTGACGTGTTAACACTAACTGTGTCCAGTGGCTTGCTCAGATTATGATCAATACATAGTTTATTCTCACCAAAATAGTTTTAAACAACTAGATTGGTTGTTTTTCCAAACAATCTATCCGAACTTTATCCAGCTGACAGCAGCTCTCCTCCAAACTCCCACATCTTGACTGAACACTGAGGCTGTTTAGATGCCTTTCAAAATTCTTGTGCTTCCCAAACTGCTTCCCAAAGGGGCCACGTAGTATCACCATAACGAGGCTTCGGACGTCATCAATTTTGACCCCTCCTCCAAATGAATCATGCTTCGACACGCGCTTTGGGAAAACACCCCCTCCATTACTCGACATAAGCCTCGGCTCATCTCATAACATTATTTTTGATTACAAGTTTATTTTATTTTCTCATTAGTTTTGCTTTTGTTATATTTATTATTA